CCCAGTGGTTAAAGAGAGGAATAGGACCTAAAATTTTAACAAACACTTCCAAAAAGCTGTGCACAAGAACTTCAACAGCAGAAAAGGTAATGAGTGTTATCCCACGATGACCCACTTCAGAGGAATGTCATTGCTCTGAAAGGGAAATAGCACAAAATCGAATGCTGCTGACGAGTGAGAAAATTGGAAATGCTAGCATATGAAACCAAAACTAAGGAAACTGGTCTACACAAATAAGCAGCTTCATGTTTAGAAAAAAAAACTATTTTTTCTTCAGAACATGGGGAAATAAATAAAATCAAGAGGTTCCTCCATGCCTGCCTAGTTTTACTGCTTCCCTCCTCTCTAGTTTCTCTTTGCTTGACTCACTAACTGGTTTCACATATGAAATCCACCACCTGCCTTTTAGACCTCATCCCCACTGCTTTATTTCCATCCTGTTTCACTACTCTTTGCTTCATTGCCATCAATATAATTTATGAGTTCTTGAGCACTGGTGTGGTATTATTATCTGTGACATAAAAACACAGACGACTCAAAATTTACTTAATCTAAACTGATAAGACTGAAGTCATGCTTATTGGCAGGCCCCATCAGCTATCCAAATCCAATTCAGGGGCTCTATCTGTTGATGGTACTGAGCTTCAGTCTAAATTGAAGAACTTGGAGGTGATATTAGATCCACGCTTGATGTTTGACCTACAGTACATGTGAAACATATTGCCAAAGCATCTTCCCTCCACCTCAGAAATAGTGCCAGACTACTGTACACCCTATGTTGTTGCTTACTGCTGAAATGCTGATCTACCCATTTGTCTTCTCTCGAATTGACTACTGTAACACTCTACTCGCTGAGGTATCTAAACACATATTGAGCAAACTACATTGTGTCCAGAATTCAACAGCCAGAATCCTGAACAGGTCTAGTTAAAGTGATCAAATTACTCCTATCCTGGAGTAGTTGCACTGGCTTCCTATCAGGTTTCATGTCAACTTCAAAATCCTCATGCTCACTTATAAGGCTCTGCATGGCTAAGCACCTCAGTACCTGTTTGAGCTACTGTTATCCCACTTCCCACCTCACAGCCTATGTTCATCAAATTCTAGTCTCCTATCTGTGCCCCATCTACACTCTATGGGTGACTCATGCCCCAGAGCTCTGGAACTCTATCCCAAAGGATATCAGTCACCCTCCCTGAGCTGGTTCAATTCAAGACTCAAAACATTCTTTTTTGAAGGGCTTTTATTTCACTGGTTCAGTGTGCCCCTTTTCGTCTACTGTATTCCAAACTCCCTTCTACTACCTTCTCTCATTTGTATATTCATTGTGTATTTTTCATGCATTTTTTATTTTGTCTTCTTGTTGTACAGTAAGGTGCTTTGAGAAGCCAAAGGCACTAGCTAAAACATAATCAATTGGCAGCTCACTGGTGTAGCTGCCCGATACTGCCACTTCCATCTATATCAGTTCATCTTTTTATCACCTATTAAGAACTGTTTAGTCAGAAATCAAGGAGCAAATTCTTAATTACCACTTTCAAAAGACTGCATGTACTGTACTGTTGATTTGTGTGCTAATGTTGATGGATTTTTTTTTTTAAACCAAGAACTGAGTGCTGAAAAAAATCTAAACAAGCAAGCACATCAATGACTGGCAGCAATAAGCACTGGTGATTAAGGGCCCAGTTGGAACAAAAACCAGAAGAGACAAGAGTATGCCAGGACAAGAACCACAGCTCCAGGATATCTCAGAAAACTAGTTTATAATTCAAATGTAGTTAGTGTGCATCAGTTAGTGCAGTGTTTCAGAAGTATGGATGGAGAACAGTTTGTCAGAAATGTGAATAAGAATACTGTTCGCGACTTTCTGCATACCTTCAAATACCCTATAATTCTTGGACATGTTTAGAGATTAGACAGTGCAAATGCTCAGACATAGGGCTCTGCAAAATCAGCCTATTTCTGTACTGTTAACCACAATCAAAATTAGGGAAATCACAAAAAAACAGCTCTTTGGGACAAAGACAAACCTTGAATTTGAACATTAGCAGCATGATTAAAAAACCGCCACTGCTGCACATTTTATGAGTGGTGCCTCAGAGTTTAACTAGCAGAAACATTTTACAAACGCTGTAAACAGAATATTCAGTGCAATGCAATGCCCTCAAAAATACTGAACTTAATGCCTATTCATCATTTTAATGCAAAGAAATGCTTAGTCTTCTCCCAGCATGGGTTCCATATTTTAATATTTACTGTTAGTGATCACTATTTTGGTGCGATAGCTAAAAACTTTTATAGAACTATTTTTATGTACATGTGAACTCATTAGATCCCACTAAACATGAAACAGTACTGCAGTGTGGACGCACTGAGTCAGACTAATTATTATGTAGTTATGTAGTGCAGACAGGGCCTTAATGTCAAGCCCACAGTCTAGTATTTACCCTTTAACCATGCCAGTGGTGAAGAGACTAACAAGTATCATGTGCATAATTAGAGATAAAGCCTGAAATTTAACCCATTCTTCTTTTCTATATAATTTAATTTGTATCACAAATCTGACTGTAAAAATACTCAGCTATAAAACAGATATGTTTTATCACATGAAGATAATTTTTAGAATTGGATTTGTGGTTATGTTGCAGAAAAGCAATAGTGAAGGAACATGCACTTTCATTTCTCTGGTAGAAACAGCTATGGCCCATTTTTTTAAGCTTGCAGGGAATGAAGTAATTTCCCAGCCCTTCATTTTTAGTTCAAATGGCCTTGAAAGATAGAAAGTAAAGTCACATATAACCCTGTTACTATATTTGCTTTGGCAGAAATAACCTCCCTAATGTTATCTTGACAGTCCTAGCTGTATACAGTATGAGAAGTATAGCTCCTGACTGTCACACTCACTGAACCTCACATAACCTAGGAGGCAGAGCAAGGGTTAAGCTCAAAGAAGCTGTCTGATAACAAGCCAGATTGGATAGGATGTCAGACATGTGGGAAACTGTAAAACAAACTAAGATTACAGTGTTTTAAGGGAGTTTTTTTTAAGTATTCAATACACTTTTTAAATTCAGTTTTGTTCTTACATTTTTCAGTCTTTTATTAGAACAATATTTCATCCAACTGATAAGACAACAGAAACAAGATAATAACCGATAGACTATAATGTTTTCAGTACAAATGGTTAAAATGGTTATTAGGCACACACATTTAGAAATATTGAGATTCCACAATAAACTGTGGTCAAAACCTTTGAAGAAGTATCAATCAAGTATTGAAAAATCAACTACAACAGATTTATAATATTAGACTCTGTGTCCAATAGATAATGCCTGAAAATGGACAAGGTTTTATTAAGAAATAACATTTATAAACAAATTATGCACACAATGTAAACTGTAATGTTTTGTAATGTGTATGGAATTCTGGCCTATAGCACTACATGGGTGCTTTCAGGTTTTATGGTTTTAAATAAAAGAAGTAGTTCAGTAACTGAACTACATACCTTATAAACACAATGATAAGAGTTTATAGATTTTCTAATATTGTGTACAAAATTTGTATATTACACTTTCTCCAATTTGTCAAAATACTAAGATATATGTGTGTGGATGAATAAGTTGTTATGGTCCTTAAAAATTACATCGCATTTTAGAATTTTAGTGGCAAAACCTCACTCACTTCATTTGTTTGATCCATTTCATGGAATAAACTTTTATTTTCTTAAGACTACAAATTTGAAATGATCATAATGAAGAAGGTCCAATGATAATAAATGCAGAGATGACAGAGAAACATTGTATTTTTATTTTGATAAATTAAATGTATTGGGATTCGCAGTAGGAATTTTACTACAGGACAGGGTAATAAATCATTTACCTCGTCTCTTTATGAACTGCAGTCTTCAGAAAAAATGGGTTATGTAATTTATTGAGCATTCAGGGAAACCTAGACATGGTAAGATACTGAAGACTTTGTGAATTTGTAAAGAACTGTGAATTCTAATTAGAGTTAAAATTTATAAGAACAAAACCATAGCCACTGGCAGCATGACTGCTTTTCTTTCCATTGAATCAGCACTTCTTAAGTTCTAAGGTTTTGGCAGTTTTGCCACTTGGCTTCCAGTATCTCATTTTTACACCTGGGAATCAGTTGCCATTCCAGGTAATTTATACCTACCGCATGGCCAAAAATCAGTAGGAAAAAGGCTCAAATTTGTGGTAACAAAAAATAGTATTAATAATATTGTTTAATAAAATGATATTTGCATAAAAAACATTTGAGAACAAAATGTAAACAGAACACCTTTTCATTAACTGTATGAATAAATTTGTGACTAAACTCTAACAATGTGATTTATAATTAAACACTACACAAGAAAAAAAAGGGTGTAGCTTTAAGGAAACAAATCATTGATACAAATCACCCACACAAGACACATTCCTTTTTGCACCATTGTACTGAACAAAGATTGTGAAATATTTTAACCATTCAATTACTAGAATATAGAATAGTTGTTGCACCCAGCATTGTGATCCTATCTGACTATTTGAACACTCATCTAAAAAGTCTTGCCTTACAGGAAGTCAAGGTGGCAGTATTCTATTCAAGATCATGCTTTACCTAGAAAGATGTTGCAGAGAACAACTTCCTAAAAAAATAGCGTTTTCAATTTTTCAAATTACTGACATTTTGTGACAGATGAGATCCAGTAATTGTACTTCAAAATATAATAAGTTCAGAGAAATTAATGGAATCAAAAGATTATTAATCTTTTATAATTACTTTATTAGAAATGAAATGAACTTCTGCTTTATTGGAGTGCTGTGCTGTGCTGGCATTTGAGTCACCCTCAGTTTGAGACCGACACGAGCCACAGTGGTAAATGAAGATGACTACATCCTAAACAGTCGTAACCTTTGTGTTTAGATGCTCTTTATTTTACCTCTAGGGAACAAAGCCATTGACCTTCTAACTGCAGACGTTAAACATGTCCTTACCTCTCCCTGTTGAATTTGAGGGAATGAAGAATGGCAGGTCGCTTTTGCCGCAGGTTCCAGAGGTGAATGCTATCATCCGCCAAGGCACTCACGAGGGCTCCCTGGCAAACAGGAAAGGCCAATCAAACAGTTTCAGGGGACCCTGTTACATTTCTGAATAAGACAAACCTACAGGGGTATGTTGAGTCTAGGGAGTAGAGACTGCACAGGGACAAAAAACCGGTCACATAGCAGTGCTTCAGCATTCTGAACCATCACCTCACTAACCATCACCTCACCTCACTATCACACGGTATCCTAAGGTGGATGATTCAGATAATGAAAACACACTGTTAAAATGGATTTTTCTTAAAGTTTTTCTTAAAGAAGACAGTTAATTGTAAATGTAGGTAAATCCCAGCCAGAAATACAGGTTATCTGAGATGGTGATGATTAAACCTTCTCTCCAATGGTCAGCAGCTTGGCTGGTCGGGTGAGAACAAAGCCATTCTGCAGTCACTCTATAACATACAGTATGTGAGTCTATAACATCTTTCAATCCTGTCAGCTGTGATTTATCACACGGTATCCTATGCATGTGTGCATTTCCACACATAACAGCAAACATGTTTGCCCCTCTCCCTCTTCCCAAAGTTATGAATATTAACATGACACTTCTTTCTCCAAAGTCACTGTGATTCACAGCCAGCGGCAAAGAAACAGCGAGAGATGCTCTCTCCTCCCTGAGGCACAATGCTGACTCAATACTCTTGCTGACTCAGAGACAGGCAGGAACAGGGATGTCTGCTAGGAGTGTGACAAGAGAGTGAATGAACGAATGCTGCAAGAGAAATGAAAAGCAAACCAACAAATGAGGCAGAGAAATAAATGATGGACAGAATAAGTTAAATGAAGAGATGAAATTGGAAAATGGTAATTAGGTAGCTACAATCAAGTCTCAATAAAGCTATGAGATTGTGGTATTAAAGATATTTAAGGTATTTGTTTTCATCTACTCCTACCACGACTGTACATTTTGCATTTTACTGCAAACTAAAACTTTAAAATTTAACTACAAGCGTGCAGGTGACAAAAGTGACAGGGGAGATTAAAACAGCAACTGAGTAGATTCCAATCAAGGCTGTAGTTTTTTTAGAGCATTCCTTCCTTTCAGCAGCAGAGAAGCAACAATATCTAGAACTGATTAGTTAAGGTACATAATGTGCTTGTAAGACAAACACAGTTTGTTGATAATCCACACATAGCTCATAAAATTGCTCATAAAAATGAATGCATGTGTTATGTTCGCTCAGCTACTCCACAGTCCGCCCTCGCTGTTCTTCAGTGGGGCGTGGCGCAGATTTAGTGGCTGGAGGCCATGCCTTCATTTTGCCTTGATCACCGTGGAGGCAGTTGAAGCAGAGCACCTGGATTTAGAAGAACTTTCACTGTAGCAGGTGCTCTGAAGGTATTTAAACACTGTTCAGGCTTTCCTCAGCAATCCGGTATGGATGTCTATATTTCACTTCTGAGCCACAGTTCCAGCCTCCCAGTTGAGGCCTTCCTGTTGCTGGTTTCCAGTTTCCTTCGGGCTCCGTCTGGGAGCTTTTGTCCATGGCAGTGCTGCCCGGAAGATTCCAGTGGTCTGAAGTGGAGACCCATCCTTAGCAGATGTCTCTGCTGGCCCGGTCAAGAAGGTGCCCGGGAAACTGGTTTTCCCAGAAATACTCTTCCTGCAGAAGTTCTTGAGGCTCACTGATAACATAAATACCAGCATGTACCAAGAACGCTCAGGTTCCACTGGTGTATTCAGGGAGACTGAACCCAATTACAAACAACATTGGTTAGAAAATGGAAAGCATTTCATAAACCCAATAAATTCACTAACTGTATCCTATAATGCCCACATATCAGGTGTGTCATGATTGCAGAATTCACACAACCAAGAATCAATGCATATTACAGAATGCATTCTAAAGTTGTAGGGCTTCAGTACCTAAATGATTATGGGTGTGACAGGTAATGCTAGCACCTAACTATACAATTTTAGCAAATGACCCTAGTTTTACTTTCACACCTCGGATTAACTTTCTTTCCAATTGGAATCTTCTTACCAAAGTGTACAAAAGATAAAAGTCAAACAATAAGAAAACATGACCTTGTAACAGATGCACATGTATGGGAGAAAAAATATTTCTTATCCTTTACTATAAAAGGAAGCCAGCATTGACAAAAGCACTGACAAAAGTGTGGGTCCACTTAAAGGTAAGTGTGCAGCCTTACTCAGCTTAAATGTATCCAGTCACACAGGTGAAATCATTATTAGAAAACTGACCACAGAAATGTAACAATTATATTACCAGTATTAAACATTTCTGCTGGGTCTCAACAACAGTTCCATTTCACAGTTTTCAGATTGTACTTGGCATTGCATTATCAACAAAATATGGCCTTGAGAGTGAGCAGCAGTTTTCTTCTGTGAAAACCGCTTTGAGTGGAGTGTCCAGAAAGCAATTGTAAGCATTTAAGTGTAAGCAATTATTATTAATCAAAGAAACTTGGCAAGCTCTGTCACATTTACAAATAAGGTACATACTGTCCTTTCCATTGGCTTTAAGTGTTAACAGTTGTAGATGTCCATCTACCATTTCCTGAAAGTAACAAACACCTTGTCAAACTCACAACAGCACATCTGCTACCTGAGGAATAACCTTAATAGCATCAACCAATGTTTCAATGTTGTAACAGCATAGAGCCTTCTAAAACCTAACATGGAACCTTCTCTAAGGTACAGACTAAAGATAATTTAACAGGTTTGTTGCCCTTATGTATTATGGTGACATCACAGCCTAGTGAAACAAAGAAAAGCTGGTGAGTGTCATTTCAAGCCCAGTCAACATTATCAAAATTGATTACTAATGGAAATGTATACAGTATATCCTTTCAAACTTTCCCGATGCAAGAGAGTTTTTTCAGTGACTAGCCAACCCCAGGATTATGTTGTTCAATGTTTCCATTAAAGACCGAAATTCAAGACCCAGTAAATTGAACACCACAGCATATTTTATCCGTCCACACTAACAATTCCATTCCATGCTGCAACCTATAAACAAATCAATGGTTTTTAACAAATTGTGCATCCAGTTTTGTGTTTTCAATGTTTTATGCTTTTTTATGAATAAAAAATAGACAATACAAAAATGTGTGGCATTAAGATCTGTGTAGCTTTCTGAGTGCTAGACAAAGCTGGCAAATTCAAATATTTTATATTAAGAATTGGTGAAAGAGTACAATTAACAAAGAGGTGGCTTTAAGAAATGATTACCTGTGAAAAACAGTATTATTTTAGCTCCTCAACACTAACCTCTTAAACACCGAGTACTCAGGAAGAAAACTAGACTTTCTAAGCATTCCTGGGAGACAAGGTGGCTGACAGTACAAAATCAGGTAAGCACAAAGGCCAGATGCAGGCCTGGGGGCAAGAGAAGAGTTGAGTCACCCATTCTATTGAGAATTTCAAGGCCATTACTAACCTCATTAATCAGGAACTGGAGCTGGATCACTGCTGCTCCGCTGTCATGCTGGCAGTAGCATTCCACTCCTGGGCGGCCGAAACTGACATCAACTTGGTTAAGGAATGATTAGCAGGGATATTAAGGTAGAGGAATAAAAACAATATTAGCACACAGCAAAGGAGCCAGAAGCCTGGTGTTACATTTTTGATTGGCCCTGTATTTCTTCAGTCCAATTCAAATGTACACTGAAGAAAGGCACATTGTACAACACAGTTCAATAATGATTACCTCACCTGGTCTGTAATAATGGGTGGTTAGTTTGGATCCCTTTAAGAAATTATTTAATTCTACAGTGTTTTCAGAAAGTATTCACCCACATTGGATATCACCCACAAGTTATATAAAAAATAAAACATTACTTACAAATGAAGCCATATCAAAGTGGAACAGAAGTTCTGGAAATCTTTTACATGTAGAGACAAAGATCTTGGGAGGAGTAAAAAACATATCTAGGGTGTTGTAAGTTCCATGGTGAACAGGCATGCTCATTATTAGGAAATGGAAAGAATATGGAACGACCCAGAGTTTTCCTAGAAAAGCCCATTTTCCAAACTTATTAGCCAGGCAAGAAGGACCTTAGTCACAGAAGGGACCAACAATCTAATGACCACCCTGACAAACTACAGTGGATATAAAAAGTACACACACTCTTATTGAAATTGCAGGTTTTTTCACTTAAATTATTTTTCCTAATTATTATCCATTTGTTTTTCTCTTGAATTTTGTTGGATATAAGGTCACAGGGAAAGATGGAAAAAATGTCTGACATGATTTATCTTGATTTCTGGCTTTATATCACAAAAACCTGCAATTTCAATCAAGGTGTGTATACTTTTTTATATCCATTGTACAAAGTTCCCCGGCTAATTTAAAAAACCTGTCCAGAGGAGGACAATCTCTGCAACTATACGTAAATTTAGGCTCTATGGGAGAGTGGTTTGATGGAAGCGACACCTGACAAAAGACAATTTAATAGCATGTGGCAAAACCCGAGACCATGTGGCAATAGATTCTCTGGTCTGATCAAATAAAATTTGAAATATTTGGCCTGAAAGCAAAGCACGATGCCTAGCAAACCGAATTCATCACCTGTTTAATACCATCCTTATCACGAAGCATGGTGGTGGCAGCATCAACATACTGTGTGGGGATCCTTTTCTGTGGCAAGGACTTTTAAGAACAGAGGAAAGAACAAATGAAGCCAATACAGACACACCTTCCCCAACTTGATGGAGCAAATCCGCAAGGAAGGATGGGCAAATATCACCAAATCCTGATTTGTAAACCTTATACATACCCAAGAGGCCTGTAATTCAGCAAAAGATTCTTCCACCAAGTATTGACTAATTTTTACTAATGACTCTATAAAAATATTTTAATGCTTCATACATTATTGTTAACAATAAAAATATTTTTGCCTGTTTCAACTGCTGTACCTGTTGTATGAATCAAGGGGAATATCATTTCAATGCATTAAAAATTCTAGTTGTAATGTATCACAACAACATTTACAATTGTTTAGGAGGGGGGTGAATACTTTCTGATGGCATTGCATCAGCTTATACTAATAATTTTAATAATGAAGTTTAACTCCACTAGGGACTGTTATGCAAGATAAGTCATATAGACCCAACATCTATGATCTTTATGATATCTTTTAAATACTTACAATGTTAAGAAAATAAAACAAAGCATAGGGAAGCACCTATTGCCCACCTACATCAGCAGCTTAAGCACTGCTCCTTGTCAATACAGCTTTGCACATTCCCAGCAACGCTATCTAATGTTTCATTAACAGTGACAGGAAATCCATTATTCAGAAGATGAAAAACAAAATATTGGTCTATTAAAAGATTTTAAAAGTATCTTTTTTCCTGCAGTGAGCTACTGTAGCATTTAGAACACATAAAAGTCAGCTGTGACTATCATTATATATTAACACGTGTCTCTTCATTGATTACTTGCCATAATTTTAGAGCTTTCCTCACAAAAAAAAGTAAATGGAGATCTTAAAGGTTTTTCTTTTGAATAAAAAGAACATTAATAAGTAAAGAACATTTACTAATTACATGGGGCCATTTAGCTCATCCAGCACATTTATTCTTCAGTAGCTAATTGATGCAAGGATCTCATCCAGCCATTTCTTGAAAGTCAGGGAATCAGCTTCAACAACAAAGCTCAGGAGCTTATATACTCCCACAAATCTCTGCGAAAAGACGAGCCTCTTGTTTTCAGTTTTAAATGCACTTCCTATGTAATTGAACAATTTTCCAATCTCAAAAATGCAAAGAAGATTTTCATTTTATACATTAGAGAAAACCACACATACTGAATGACAGCATGAAAACCGTTTGCAGCCACTCTACAATTTAATTCAAAAATGCATATCATTTTAAGTCCGCAACACCGCCATCTTGAGAAAAAATTCAAACTTCGGAAAATTTTACTGTTTTATTTGTAGACAACAAAAGAACCTACAATGATGCAACACTCATTACCTCAACACTCATTTACCTCAAGTTAAAAGCAACATCAACAGTACCATTCATAACTATAAAATGCCATAAGGAAAACATCACAAATCACAATTGTGTGAAACAAAAAGACAAACTATCGTGCTATCTCTATAAGATTAAGTGAAAAGTGAATTTTATTATACATTAGGGATAAAAGCAAATGAAAGGTTGTCAAAAAGTAAAATCAGAAAGTTAGCTAGAACAAATTTGCAGTCGAATTTCCTTTCACTAATACTTTCCCAAATTACCTAATACAATCTGTAGCACTTAAATTGTAGTGCAGCCTCTACTCCAATAAATACATTTAGTTATGTACCAGAAATGTACAGTACATAAAAGTAAGAAGATAAAATTCCCTATCCCAAATGCGAATGCAGTGCATTATGAAAATATCTACAAAATCCATTGAGTTGTTTAGTGGTGGATTACCTTTGCATGGTGCACATTTTGTAAAATGCTCTCCAGATTATCCTGCTCTAGTATTAGCCATGATCTAAAGTTGTGAAAAAAGTTTGTGAACCCTTTGGAATTATCTGGATTTCTGTATAAATGTGATCTGATCTTCATCTAAGTCATAATAATGAATAAAGACAGTCTTATTTAACAAACAACACATACAACATTTTACATCGTCATATCTTTATTGAAGCTTTGTTTAAACAATTGAGGTGATTGATGGAAAAAGTATGTGAACCTCTAGGATAATGACATCTTGAAAAGAGGGTAATTGAAGTCAGGTATTCCAATCAATGATTCGGGTGTTCCAATCAATTCAGGTGTGGGTTTAATCTGCCCTGCCATATACAAAAACACACAATTTTAGTTACCTGCTCTCCACAACAGAATTCTGTTGAAGTACAATATGGCCCGATCAAAAGAGATTTCAAATGATTTCTAAAGACTTGGGCCTCCATCAGTCCACTGTCCGGCAGATAGTTTACAAATAAGAATTTCAGCACCATTGTTAATCTCCCTTGGCATGAGCATCCTACAAAGATCAGTGCAAGGACATGCCATACAATCCTCAAACAGATGACAAAAAACCCTAGGGTGACAGCTAAGGATCTGCAGGCACCCCTTGCACTTGATAACGTCTGAACACTGAACTAGAGTGGTGTTCATGGGAGGTTACCATGGAGGAAACCACTGCTCTCCACAAAAAACTTTGCTGCCCGTCTCAAGTTTGCTAAAGACCAGCTTTAGCAAAGAATATTGTTTTGTTGTTCCACAGCAACAACAAAACAATATTCTCTGGACAGATGAGACAAAAGTTTAACTTCATGGAAAATGTACACAGCATTATGTTTGGAGAAAAGAAAACACTGCATACCAGAAGAAATTCTGTATTTTAGAATGGCCAAGTCAGAGTCCTGACCTCAATCTTATTGAAATGCTGTGGCGTGATCTGACACAAGCCTTTCAATAAAGACATCCCAAAAATATACATGAACTGAAACAGTTTTGTATAGAGGAATGGGCCAAGGTACCTTATAACCGCTGTGCAGGTCTGATCAGCAGCTACAGAAAGCGTTTGGTTGAGGTTATTGCCAATAAAGGAGATTCCACAAGTTACTATATATAAGGGTTCACATAATTTTTCCATCAGTGATCTTGATTGTTTAAACCATTTTTTCAATAAAGATATGGCAATGCAAAATTGTGTGTGTTGTTTGTTAAATAAGACTGTCTTTTATTTATTATATGACTTAGATGAAGATCAGATCACATTTTAGGATCCATTCATGCAGAAATCCAGATAATTCCAAAGGGTTCACAAACTTTTTCTCACAACTTTAACTACAAACACCCCATGAAAACAATTTTAACAAACTGCTGTCAAGGTTAAAGGTTTTGAACTTGCTGTGAAGGAAACTTCTTGCTTGTACGAATTCCAGCCTGCCTCCCATTACTAGAGTCCCAAAAAAGGAAGTGTACAAAAAACATGGCATTGTGATTGGTCGATTGGAACTCTCTTAGCTACCACTAAAACAGGGATCCCTGTAGCTCTGCAGGGACATTAGCTAAGACTGTAGACTGTAGACATAGCAAGGTGTCAAAAGATGAATGTCTTGATGATTAAGCAGGTCAGAGGAGCCTGTCTGCACATTCTTATTCTTTCCATGTTTGAACAGGAGTTGTCACTATGAGCTACAGCAAGTCAAAACAATTGCAAAACGTTTGTGTGTATAATTACATCAAGAGCCCCTCATACTGTTTGTGAAAATAAAAAATAAACGCACATTGAAAAATATATTCCATATCCACTTAAACTACACCCTAAAAATATATAAAAATGAAATTAAATAAACCCTGCAAAACATATGACCTTTCAAAATTAAAACTGACAAAGACAATGGGAATAAACGTAGAAATGCTTAGGAATAAACGTGTACTGTATGTTAGGGTGGTGTAAGTGCTGGAATTTAATAATAGGATACTGGTGAAAAACATTTACCTAAATGAATTATTTCAAGGAAGCAACTGATTCTCCTAATAAAGCACAGCCATCTCAAGATGCACGGAA